AAGCTGCCGCCTGCAGAGCTGACATCCCATATGGGTGCAGGTTCGAGTCCCTGCTGTTCCACTTCTGATCCAGCTCTCTGCTATGGCCTGGGAAAGTGGTGGAAGATGGCCCATGTCCTTGGGCCCCTGCACCCACATGGGAGACCTGGAAGAGGCTCCTGGCTTTGGATCGGCCCAGCTCCGGCTGTTGTGGTCTATTGGGAAGTGAACCAGCAGATGGAAGACCTCTCTCTCTGCCTCTGCCTCTCTAACTCTGCCGTTCAAATAATAAATAAATCTTAAAAAAAAAAGAGGAAAAGGAGAGAGGAAAAGGCATTCTGAGCTGTGGGAGGGAAGAATTATGGAAAATGCTGCTAAGCCCTAAACATGCAGGCAGGTACTATCTAAAGAGTTTACTTACTTCGTAGGGTTTTATAATATGGATTCCAGTGTATCTCTAAACTGAAAGGAGAAATCATTATACAGAAAGTGATCAAGGATTTTTTAAAAAGTTCAAACTATATGAAAAATCAGAATAAAGTAGATGAGTGAGAACCATATGAAGAGTCATGATTTGTATAAATAATACACAATATTATTGTTAAAATGTGTTTTGAGCCTCAATGCACAGCTCATGTGTCCATGTGTTGAACTATGCTCATCTGAATCTAAATTTTGTCTTTGCATCAACTCTGTCTTAATATTTAAGTAGCTCAATTATTTTTCAGTTTAAGGAAGTTGCTTTTTAAAGAGTAGAAGTTCATTAGCATAAATATGATGCTTTGTCAACGTATGATTTAATAAGTTTGCCAATTAAGTGACTACAAGCTACACAATGTATGCTAGACATACTTAGCTCTGTCAACTCCCACTCATGATACTCGGTGTTATAGAATAAAAACTTGTTTTAAATTCCGTGCTTTGAAACTGGAGAAGTAGAAAAGGTCATTTTCTCAAGCATGAAGATCTCAGGCCTTAATGCTCTTCACTCTTCAGCAGGAATCTGTTCTCCTTTGCTCATATCATGCTGCTTCCTCTGTCACCAACCTTTGCAAAATACAAATAGTGGCTCATCCATTTTTTTAAAGATTTATTTATTTATTTGAAAGTCAGAATTACACACAGAGAGAAAGAGAGGCAGAGAGAGAGAGAGAGGTCTTCCATCTGCTGGTTCACTCTCCAATTGGCCACAACGGCCGGAGGTGAGCCGATCCACAGCTAGGAGCCAGGAGCTTCTTCTGGGTCTTCCCATGTGGGTGCAGGGGCCCAAGGAACTGGGCCATCTTTTACTGCTTTCCCAGGCCATAGCAGAGAGCTAGGTTGGATGTGGAGCAGCCAGGACTCGAACTGGAGCCCATATGGGGTGCCGGCACTGCAGGCGGAGGCTTTACCTGCTATACCACAGTGCCAGGCCCTCATCATTTTCCTGTCCCTATGGCATGTTCCTCTTGCCCACAGTCAAAAGACCTGCTCCTGTCTGTTTACCTGATAACACCTTTACCCCTTACCCAACTTTTCCTGATCTGAGGCAAAGAAATCAGGGCCTGCTGTCTCCCTCTCTTACCATTCATGGGTCACAGTCAGTACTTGTAGCATATCTTGTGGTTGAGAATAATAATTTTCCAGTCTGACTCACCTCCCATCTGTTTTCCCTCCTTGTCCCCTGAAAAGAAAAACTTAATGTTAGAGGGGAAGCACTTGCAGACTCTATTTGATTAATATTGTAAGAGTAAAATTTGAAAACTCCAAAGTAAAGGAATCTATGCACAGGAGGAGTAATGTCAACAGAAGTAGGGCACCTGGGGAAAGAGATGAGGGCAGAGACTTTCAGTTTCTTGTGACTTGGGGCAGGAATGAGGCAGAAGTGGCTATCTGAGAAAAAACAAGTTTCTCTGAGTTGAATTGCCCAGAGGTCCCCCCTTGGGTACCAGGGAAGTCCCATGAGCTAGGCATTTGGAGAACTTCTTGAGATATGGAAATGAATGTGAGTACAGTACAGTGATATGAAAGGTGGAGGAAAATTTTTAACATTTAAGAAGCAAAGAGGGAAGAGAGGAGAAGCAGCTTCAAGGGCACTCAGAGAATCTGGGAAAGCAAAATGGACACAATGAGCATTTAGGCCTCTGGCTCAACCAGACTTTAATGACAAGAGGCTCAGTACAGTATCTAGCTAAAGCGCAGTGTAGGGCAGAAAGCTCAGTTTTGCCACAACTGTCAATGATACCTGGGAGAAATAATTTCCCTCTAAGCCTCTTCAACCCTGTGCTGTGGAACTCTCCTGAGCATCCAATAAAAGCTTTCTGAGTTGTTATACAAGAGTTGACACAGAGTGAATGCTCAAGAAGTGACATGCTCTTCCAGTCTTACAATGACAGGAAGGACGTGGCTGTGGGCTGGTGCATAGTGTACGAAAGCACAGGCTGTAAGGCAATTAAAACTGTAGTCAAATCTGATCCGATCTGGACCTACAATGGAGTCAGATCTGCTCCTTGCAAATCTGGGATCTTGATTATGCTAGGTAACCTTTGTAAGTCTGCTTTCTCCTCTCTAAAATAGGCTTAAAATATATCTCAAAGTGGTGTCATAAGTATTAATGATTAGATACACTGTATTTGTAGCTCAGCATATTTCTTGCGCAGATGAAGGGCATTAAATTCTAGTTAATGTAATGAGGAACTCAGGAGTTTTGTGTATAGACTTTGTCCTTGCTCGACCTTTCTCAGGCTCATGATTTATGAAATGATGTAGTTCCATAAAAATGTATCGTTCTTATTATGAGTTAGGAACTGAGCTAGACGAGTGAACTTTTCTCTTTAAAGATTTATTTATTTATTTGATAGGCAGAGTTACAGAGAGACAAAGGCAGAGGCAGAGGCAGAGCGAGAAGTCTTCTATCCACTGGTTCTCTCTTCAGTCGCTGCAATGGCTGGCGCTGGGCCAATCTGAAACCAGAAGCCAGGAGCTTCCTCAGGGTCCAAGGACAGGGGCCCAAGAACCTGGACCATCTTCCACTGCTTTCCCAGGCCATAGCAGAGAGCTGGACCAGAAGTGGAGCACTTGGGACTTGAACCAGCACCCATATGGGATGCGGCACTGCGGGTGGTGGCTTTACCTGCTAAGCCACAGCCCAGACCCATGAGTGAACTTTAAGAGATATAGATATAATACTTATCTTCTAAGTATTGCCAGTCTTTTGGGTGAGCAGAGATGTATAAATTTGCAATAAAATGATCTAGTTGCAAAAGGAGGGAAGGGAGAATTAATTCTCAGCAGAGAGATCTTCATGTTCCCAGAAAACTAAATCTCAAAAGATGAGTAGCATTTTGAAGGCATAAAATTGGAGGAAGTTTGCTTTAGGGAGTTAGAGTGGTTGTGCACCAACACTAGCTGTGAAACTGCTTGATGTATTTGGAGAATGATTTCGGATGTGTGCGGTATATATGTGTGTGCTTGTGGTCATGAGGGTTGGGGTTGCTGTAAATAATTATATACTTGCTTCTAATTTTTGAATATTCCTACTTTAATGATAGGAACTACATCCCATTCAATTGTACATATCACACAAATTGGCATTCCCTTGCACAGGGTAAGCTAACATGAAATGAATTAAGTTGAAGATGTTTTCTCATTAGATGCTAACTTCCCAAATACCCTAAGGTTTTTGCCTTTTTACATGATGGATTTATTTGATAGAGCCATCTCAACTAGTATGCTTAGATGTCTTGCTGCCAGAGTTTCAGAAATAACAATAATTTGAAGTTTTAAATTTTCATATCAATTTACTTGGCTTTAAATAATTCATCTTTCACACTAGTTTCAGTCAAATGTGCAGCATTCTATCTTCCTCCCAAATGTTTTGTTCTGGTTGGTGATGAGGTTTCTTTCTGTTAGGAGCAGTAATAAAGGAGCATTCCTCTACCTTTTTGAGTGAAGGGCTATGGCAGCACAGGGTGGAGAAGGGATCACTGCCAGTAAAAGGAGGGAACTGAGCCAGACACACGAGGAAGAAGGGTGAAAGGGGGAAAGACTGGGAACGAATATCTTCATCAAATGAGATCAGGTGGATCATTCTGAACTGATCTACATATTAATGCAAGAGGAAGAGGGAAAAAAAGGATGAGCAATAGAAGAGCAAGGGGATATTGTTTAAGTGTTGGACAGGCAAAAGCGTATTTTAGAATTATGTTGGGTGGTGTTAGAGGAAACCAATCCTGAAATGTATTTGGAATAAATTTTGTTCCAGCAATACTCAAACAAAGAAAAATTTTGAAACTCAAAGGATTATTACTTCAATATTTACATTTTACTATTATATTGTCAGCTTGATTTTTGGATGATTTTCTTGGATCATTAGGTTTTCCTTGCTATTGCAGCATTCCCTTCAACTCCCACCCAGTTCCCACCTCCTTTCTTTTTTCCCATTGACAAAACAAATCCTTTAAAAAATCATCTCTATTCAATTTTCCCACCTGTTCTTCTCCCTTCCTCTGCTATAAAAGTAACAATCTTCTTCCCATGGTGGATGCTGAGTTTTTGCCTCAGGGTCACTACACCTGCTGAGTTTTTGCCTCAGGGTCACTACACCTGCACAGCTGGGAGTCCTCCTGATGGATGCATCCCCTCTTTTCCTGCTGGGCCAGCATTCTGTGACTCACTTCCTCCCTGTTCTCTCCTCTTTCTCAGGCTTCCTTTGTGGCTTTCCATTATCCCCAACACCAAAATGTGTTGTTAATTTCCAAAGAGCTTGGACCTGCCCTGCCCTTCCCTTCCCATGTCTCCTCTCCCTTCCCCTCCCCTCCCCTCCCCTCCTCTCCTCTTTCCTCCCCTCCCCATTACTATTTGTTTTCTTTTGTTTTCCCACCAAAAGTCAACACCTATCTTTATTATTCTATATAGTAATATAGTATCTTGAACTTTATATATTCAATTTTATAGTTCTAATCAGTTTCTTTTATTTTTTATTGGCTGATACAATTTTTTTAATTTTTTAATTTAAATAAAAGTAAAAAAGTCATATATTTCATATATGTATATTTATAGTTTTTTAAGATTTATTTATTTGAAGGTCAGAGTTACATATATATATGTAACAATGGCTGGGGTTGGGCCAGACTGAAGCCAGGAGCTCACATGGTATGCTAGCATTTCAGGTGGCAGCTTTACCCACTCTACCACAATGCTGGCCCCTTGTATATACAGTTTTAAGAATATAATGATACTTCCACTCTACCCTCCATCATTCCCACTTTCCCTCCTCAATCCTTTCTTATTTTTCTTTTTATTTGACATACTTTCAATTTACTTTATGATCACCAACTTAACCTTCCACTAAATAAAGAATTCAGCAAGTAGTAAACAGAAAAAAATCACTGTTTCTCAGGATGTAGATACATTTATGAATAATAATCAAATCTCAAAATGTCAATTTTGCTCATATACATTACATTTTTTGTATTCTGTGTATTAGTTACTACCAATCAGGGAAAATATATGATATTTGTTTTTGGGGACTGGCTTATTTCACTAAGTGTAATGGTCTCCAGTTCCATCCATTTTGCTCTGAAAGACAAGATTTCATTTCCTTTTTATGGCTGGGTAGTATTCAGTCATGTATAGTACTTCTATGTGAATTCATCCAGTCTTACAGTTTTATGCATTATCTATATTTTACAGACTACAAAATGTTCACTTCGAATTGTGATGTTTCCTGAACTCATGACTTTTATATACCCACCTTCTTACTTACAAAACCAAACTCTCCATTCCCACTCCAAAATTTGTTCCTACACAATTTTAACCATCTGAACAAATATTATTTCCACATTTACATTGTTCAGACTAAAAATCTTAGATTCTTTGAGGAAGCCATTTTTTCTCTCACTCCCTATGTCTTGTCTACCAGCCTTACCTTAACTCTGTATTTTAAAGATATTATTAAGTACACTCTATATCCTGGTACTTTCTGGAAGCTACAGGCATGGAAGAGAACAAAGCAGAACGAAGTCCTACTCTTAGATTTTGGTGACTTTAAAATAAATCCACACTCAAGCTAACTTTTATCTCCTACAACTCACCACTGTTAACACCTTAGACAAACCACTTTCCTCTCCCTGAATTATTGCAATAAATTACTACTTCTATCTTTATTCCCTATAGTCTATTTTCTCCACACCAAATACACTGATTATTTTGAAAGATCAATCAGATCGTGCCTTTACTTGCTTATAACTCTCCTAAGGCTTCTCACCTCACTCACAGAAAATCCAAAGTCCCTACCAAAGCCCGCAAGGCTTTATGTGATCCAAACCCGGCTCTGTCTGTGATATTGCCTCATTCCCTGTCCCCTTCGTTGACTCCACATTACTCACATTCAATGCTTTGCTCTTTCCCAAATGTTAGAAACAGTCCACAACACATGACCTTAGCTCTTGTTCTTTGCCATGATTACATAACTCAGGTCTTCCCTAAATTATCACAATACTGCAGAGACCTCATTTGGTCTTTTTTTTTAATCTTTTTTAAAAAACTTTTATTTAGTAAATACAATTTTCCAAAGTACAGTTTATGGATTACAATGGCTTTTTACCCCCCACAACTACCCTCCCACCCATTCACATCAAGATACATTTTCAATTATCTTTATATACAGAAGATCGATTCAGTATATATTAAGTAAAGATTTCATCAGTTTGCACCCACACAGAACATAAAGTGTAAAATACTGTTTCAGTACTAGTTATAGCATTAATTCACATTGGACAACACATCAAGGACAGAGACCCCACATAAAGAGTAAGTACACAGTGACTCCTGTTGTTGACCTAACAATTTGACACTCTTGTTTATGGCGTCAGAAATCTCCCTAGGCTCTAGTCATGAGTTTCCAAGGCTATGGAAGCCTCTTGAGTTCGCTGACTTCGATCTTATTCAGACAAGGTCATAGTCAAAGTGGAAGTTCTCTCCTCCCTTCAGAGAAAGGTACCTCCTTCTTTGATGGCCCATTCTTTCTACTGGGATCTCACTCACAGAGACCTTTCATTTAGGTTTTTTTTTTTTTTTTTTTTCCCAGAGTGTCTTGGCTTTCCATGCCTAAAATACTCTCATGGGCTCTTCAGCCGGATCCGAGTGCCTTCAGGGCTGATTCTGAGGCCAGAGTGCTGTTTAGGACATCTGCCATTCTATGAGTCTGCTGTGTATCCCACTTCCCATGTTGGATCGTTCTCTCCCTTTTTTATTCTATCAGTTAGTATTAGCAGACACTAGTCTTGTTTGTGTGATCCCTTTGACTCATTTGGTCTTTACAATAATATAGTACCCATACCTCCCTTGCTCTCTATTTTCCATATCTCATTTTAAGCTTGTATGCAGATATGCACATCTTGGCAGTCTTCTTGATCTAGAACCTACATTTTTGAGAGCTAACACTTAGTTTTGCTCACTATTGTATCTACATCTCCTAGAGCAGAAATATTATGGCCAAATACACATGTATTACATTATTGTTAAATGTGGATTTCTATGATTTCATATCTTACAAGGATGTTAACATAAAGTTCTTTCAGATGAAAGTTCTACATTTGTGAGCCAACTAATTCTAGATAGGTGTGTCATTTATAGCTCAGAAACAAGGAAATTCTACTTCCTTGTGGCCTCATTATCATTCACCTCTCCAATTAGTGGTAAACTTTCAACACTACAAATTAAATATACCAAATTTTTGTTGTGACTGGTTTGTGATATCTGCTAAACTATTAAACAGAAAGTCTGCTCTAAATATACAGCTACAAGTGCTTGGAGGCAGTGCAGATAATTAGCATTCTGTAGTTTATAGCTGTCAAATTAACCACCTTACAATTAGGCATGTATATAAACTATGAAGCTGGCTAAACTATATAGAAAGGAAATAAATATATACTCTTTGATCCTAAGATAGTGAACTATTTGGAACACTACTCTGAAGTATCCTGGTTAAGAAAAAGCAGAGTAGTGTAATACAAATTTGTTCATTTAAATAGGGTATTTCAAAGTAACCTGTTTTCCTTTTTCAGATATAGAAACTAGTAATAATTTTCAAAATGTAAGCATTCCTTAAGCACATTGTTTACAAAATAATTGATAATAAGATGTCGTTTCATCTTTTTTTTTTTTTTTTTTTTGTGCTGGAGACCTCAAAACACCACATTGGCATCAGTGTAGCCATCTTCCATTCTCCTTTGACTGTTAAGTTGGGGAAAAATGGCTGTTTCCATCTTGTATTCCATCTCAGGTTGAATTTACAGATGAAAGAAATCAGGAAAAGACTTTAGACTGGCTTACTTAGTAATTCACATGATGTAGCTAGAAAATAATGCTTTTATTTTCCTTTTAGAACTACATTCCTAGTTTCATAGCTCTTGATAACATTCACATATTGAGAAAAATTTTAATTACAAAACTCAGTGACTGTTCATTAATTGTTTCTCTAATGTCTTAGAAGAAATCCCTAGCTTCTTTTTGCACGATAGACTGTTATCATATTTTTCTTTTTTGAATAACAAGTTATTCTTTGTGATATTATTTATTTTATTAGATTTTCCCTTTATGTATCTGCCTGGCCTTACTGTTAGGTGTTTATTAAGTCAGCCTTGTCATTCAATTTTTGTAAACCCCTATTCTTTGAAGGTTTTTCAACTCTTATAAATGTTGCCTGTGGGTAGGACCATCCTTGATTGTTTGCAAGTATCCAAAAAGAAACCAGAGGCTTATTTATACTTTTATTTTATTCCCCATTAACCACAATACTAAGTACTGTGTAGCCAGGTCTTGTGATGTTTCTAGCCCTCTGCTATAGGTGAGATTCTTCAATATTCATGTGCTTCTGCACCTTAGGGTTGGTGAAATTGCCTAGGGAAAAGCACAGTTGCTTTGTCCTGGTCGTCTAGTCAGATTTTGCAGGCAGGCTTATAGGTAGTTTCAATACTTCTATCTACATTCCCCTGGAGAGAATCTGGGTGTCATCGGGAATATGCAATTATAATCTCCTCTTGCTTTATTTGGATGCAAAGGGACATTCATTTTCCTAATATTTATAGAATTATGAAATATTAGTAAGCATGATTTGTGAACAAAATATCCTTAAATAAGCTATGCCAACATTCTCTCACCACCCATAGGCAATTTAGCCCTGGAGAGGAACACATGGAAGTGCCTGGCATCTTCCTGTTCCTATGAGAAGAGAAATCATTATGTTTTTGCTCCCCTTGGATCCACATTCTCTTGCTATTATAGCTGGGTACATTTTAATAGGCTTTTGACTTTTTAATTTTGTCCTGTTCTCCTACAGCATATATATCTGTGTTTGGAGACTAACTCCAAAACTTAGTGTGAGGTAGAGATCAGATGAAATAGAACAACTCTCATCTCATGGGCTGTACTTCTAGGGAGAGCTAGGTTATTTTTAAATCCTCAAATTAAACAGAATTTAATGCCATTGCCTGGAACAAATGCTTTAGACTGGGTAAGAGTATGTCTTTTTCAACTTATATAACCCACAAGGAGGTCATCTTAGGCTATGTACAAAACGGTACCTTCTCCTGAACCTAGCTCTTAACATAATGGCTGCTTCCTGCCTGAACCTGTTTGTACCTGTACATGTTCAAGAGAAATGAGTCTCTTGAGATGACTTCTTTTGCTTGAGGCTGTCATTCGCTCAATGATTTATTGCTCTCTGACCATCTTGGAAGCTATGAGTTAATGCTTTGGGAGAAGAGCATCCCACTCATGCCTTTCCAACAGATCACTGATTTAAACATCAATCTTCAGTGTTTGGGGAAACAAGGTCTCTCTCTCTTTCCCTATAAAAAATAAAGTAATAACAATAATGTTAGGTGATTTATGGAGAGTCATTTGGAGTGAAAGAGGTAGAGAACTTCCTATAATATCAGCTTTCAATCTTACCACAATATAAAAATTAATAGTAAGTACCTGGAATTGTTTAGGGACAATTGCCATATTTAGAGATTATTTTTGATTATGAAGTTTCAAACCCTGATGGCAATTAAATTACAGAGTTGAGGTGGGGGCTTATGCTTATTTTACTTATTTTAGAATCCTGAAACAAATGCCCTCAAAAGGCGCGGGTGCTGTGGCATAGTAGACTAAGCCTCTGCCTGGGGTGCTGGCATCACATTTGGGTGCCCTTCATTCATGTCCAGGCTGCTCCTTTTCCAATCCAGCTCTCTGCTATGGCCTGGGAAAGCAGGGGAAGATGGCCCAAGTGTTTGGGCCCCTGTACCCATGTGGCAGACCCAGAAGAATCTCCTGGCTTGTGGCTTTGGATTGGCTCAGCTCAGCTCAACTCAGCTCAGCTCAGCTCAGCCCAGCCATTGTGGCCATCTGGGTAGTGAACCAGTGGATGGAAGACCTTTTTCTCTGTCTCTCCCTTTCTCTGTCTGTAACTCTACCTCTCAAATAAATAAATAAAATCTTTTTTGAAAAGTGCCTTCAAAGTTGATGTTATTTTACTTCTGAAAGTCAATGTTGTTCACTTGTATAGAAAAGGCTGTACTTTGCTGCACTTTCCTAAACCATGACAGTTACATTAACTTTATGAAGCCTATTTTAACATGGAAAAATATCTAAATTCCATTAACAACAAAGTGTATGGGAATAAATAGCATCTGAATTATTTCCCTTGTAAGAATTCAGGAATTAAAAACCAGGCACTGTCTAGCTTGAGACTAACATCGTATGCCAATTACCCAAATAATCACATCTGCTATTTGAATCAGACCTGGTCAGTGATGCTTAGCATTGTTTATTTAACGCTTAATTTACCCACAAGGAACAAAAGGCAGATACCACAGTTTCTCATCTGTCTTGGCGTGGTAAAAACTGAGGGTTTCATTCCAATGCTCTGTGCTAGGGGTGTATTTGACTATCACTACTCTCAGAGGTGTTCAGTCAAGTCCAAGGCAAAATTTTTGGTTCCTTTTGGCACTAACATCATCCAATTATCTAAATCATAACAGCATCTTTCCCAGTTAATCGGCTTTTTCCTATTTACAAGAATAAATCATGTTTTAAACAATTATAACCTGATACAATTTCCCTGGATGCCATTTTTTAAATTTCAGGAATTATTTCTCACATTTCTCTTTCTTAATTTTGAACTATCTGAGGACCACTCTCTGAGAACCTCTTCAATATGTTTGTATCTGACACTGACACTCATTTTTTTTTTTACAAAGTAGATGATGATTGCATAAGAAAAGGGAGTTTCTTATATCAGCTCTTGGATTTCTTTTTGATCCCCTTTCCTACTGATAACTTCTCTCTTAAATCTCAGTTGCAAGCATTCTACCCCCCATCCTGTAGCACTGTTCAGAGTCTTACTCATTTGTCTCAGGAGATGTGCTATTTTTAGGAGCTCAGTCAGGAATTTAGGGATACAGCTTGAACAGATGCTATAGTTCAAAGAAAGAAAATCTTACGTATCTTAGGGTCCCTAGCAGTTCAAATCCCACCATCACTTACAGTATATGGCCCAGGAGGGCTGTTGTATCTTCTGCTTTACTGGATCCTGAATTTCTCTCATTTTGAGTGTTCTGGGATAGGCTGCTTATTTTATTTCCCTACAGGGGCTTGGCCAAGCATCTCCTGAGTAGAAAAATCTCCAGGGGGCTGGCAGTATTACAGATTGGGTAGAGCTACCACCTGTGATGCTGGCATCCATATGGGTGCCAGTTCCTGTCCTGACTGCTGCACTTCTGATCCAGCTCCCTGCTAATATACCTGGGAAAAACAGCTGAGGATGGCCCAAGTGTTAAGGCCCCTTCCTCTCACATGGGAGACCTGGATGAAACTCCTGGCTCCTGGGTTCGGTCTGGCCCAGCTGTAGCCTTTGGTACCATCTGGGGGTAAGCCACAAGATGGATGATCTTACTGTCTTCCTCACACCCCATCTCTATAACTCAGCTTTTCAAATAAATAAATAAATCTTAAAAGAAAGAAAAATCTTCAGTGCAGAGGCAGAGTATTTTCTTGCACACTCCCTCCCAGATACATGTGGAGGTGGCAGAAGCAGAGATTTGCCTTCCAAACAGCAGCTTGTCACCATGATTCTGCAGCCAGTGGAATCTTCTTCTTCTTCTTTTTTTTTTTTTTGACTGTTTTTCTCTTTAAAATAAAAGCATTTTTCTCTGACAGCCAATTATAGCCTACTCCAGGGATTCCCCTCAACTCTTGTATTTGAGAAGATGGGGAGCAAATGGAGCCGAGGCATTGCAAGGGGAGGGATAAGGGAGTGCTGCTTACTTCTTTTGAGGTGATACAGGATGTGCAGCTAGGGCATGGGGATGACCCATGGTTCCACAGCCAGCAGCTACTGTGGCATCTGTTGGTAGGAAGACAATTTCATCTACTCTGAAATCCCAGTATTACTCATAGAGCTATTATATGGCTTGGTACCAGCATGGCAGTGAATAAAATCAGTTTCTATCACTCCCTCCCTTTCTCTGTATAAATGCATACACAAACACACATGTGTAAGCACACACAAACATATGTTTATACATATTCTCTTCAAAACATGAATTTCTATTCATAAAACCTATTTTTAATGGTAACTCCTTGATTAAGGGCAAGATGTAACCGGCTTTCTTCAGCAATTTTCTTTTTTTTTTTCAATTAATATTTTAGTACTTATTTGAAAGTCAGGCAGATAAAGAAAAGCAGAGATGCAGTGAGATCTCCTGTCTCCTGGTTTACTTCTCAAATGCCTCTAACAGCCAGGCTGGGCCAGGCTGAAGCCAGGAGCCAGGAATTCAAATTGGGTCTCACATGCGGAAGGCAGGAACCCAAAAACTAGAGCCATCACCAGCTACCTCCCAGGATGCTCATTAACAGAAAGCTGGGATTGAGAGCACATCAAAGATGATTCCAAGCCTGGTACTCTGACATGGGATGTAGGCATCCATCTGAAGCAGCAGTTTAACTGCTGTGCCACACGTCTGCCCCTTCTATTCTGTTTATGTGCTTAAGACACACTCCTTCAGGTATATTGCTAGAGGAATGTGCTTTAGTTATCACCCCTTTGATTTTGCCTGAAATATTTTCTTTTTTTTTTCTTTTTTTTGACAGGCAGAGTGGACAATGAGAGAGAGAGACAGAGAGAAAGGTCTTCCTTTGCCGTTGGTTCACCCTCCAATGGCCGCTGTGGCCAGTGCACCGCGCTGATCCGATGGCAGGAGCCAGGAGCCAGGTGCTTTTCCTGGTCTCCCATGGGGTGCAGGGCCCAAGCACCTGGGCCATCCTCCACTGCACTCCCTGGCCACAGCAGAGAGCTGGCCTGGAAGAGGGGCAACCGGGACAGAATCCGGCGCCCAGACCGGGACTAGAACCCGGTGTGCCGGCGCCGCTAGGCGGAGGATTAGCCTAGGGAGCCGCGGCACCGGCCCATTTTTTTTTTTTTTTAATATTTTCAATAATTGGTGCACTGATGGTTCTGTAGTATGGTCACATGCAAATTTCAATCTAGAATAATATTTATTCTCTTACCCCCCCATTTCTCATTGCTTGAAACACAGAAATGGCAGACAGTCATCCAAGTCCATGCCAGATTTGAGTATAGAACACAGAATCAATATAATATCTTAGTAACTACAGTTATAAATAAACCAAAGGTAGCATTGAGTTACTCATTTTACATCAAATGATTCTGGTTATAAAATTTAATTTAGTAAAGTTTTTTCTAGTTACTATACATGATCACTATATTAAGTTTAGTAAGAGAACTGAAAGGAAGTATGAACTTTTGAAAATATATTGATAATTCCCTCACCATTCAATAACTTAATGATGGTGTATCTAACATCTAAATGGGCCCTGCCCCCATTAGTTTTCTTTTTAATCAATAGATTTAATCATTAGTTACTCCTTTTATTTCTTTGTCTATAGATTTCTTTGTACAAAAACAACAGGATGATGCAATCATTTCTCATGTTAATTATTTCAAGAGGAAAAGGAAAATTGTATTTCATTAAAAGGGGTATTGATAACTCTTGATACATGTTAAATATAGAGGCCAAAAATATCTAGATAATTTGTTTTGGGATGGGAATTGGCGACTAATAAGGTTTGAGAATTGTTGGTTTCTTGCAAAATATAGCACAAAAATTAGAGTATTGAATGTCAAAATTAAAGCATCTCAAATTATGGGCTTGTTTAGATAGATGATAGATAGATATACATATATTTGTATAGTTAAGTCTCTTCACTGAAAGATTAAGAAGTTATACATTCTTGTGGAATATATTGTCAATAATTTTATTTTTACCAATATCTGCTGGTAATGTCTACATATTTTAAAGTTATCTGTGTTAATCCATTTTCCATGACTGCAACAATTTCCCGAGGCTGGAGACTTTACAAAGAAAGAGTTTTATTTACCTCACAGTTTTGGAGGCCTGAAAGCATGGTGTTGGCATCTGCTGGCTCTAACAACAGTCTCCTAGTTACACCACAACGTTGTAGATGGAATTATGGCAGCAGCATATGCAAAGCAGAGAGATCACACGGTGAGACAGGATGCCAGTGAGTGGCAAGGGACACATCATGCTTTTTCTATATCAACAGGCTCTCATGACAACTCAGTCCATGAGGTCAGCACTGATTTCTTCCCATTGTGATAGTTGCATGATCTAAACATCTTCCACTAAAGCCTACATCTTAAATGTCCTACCACCCCTAACCTCATCACACTGGGGACTGAACTTCTGGCACATGAATCCTGGGAGGGACATATCTGGCATTAAGTTTCTCTATCAATAGTTTTCATTTTAAGCTGAGTACACAGAAATTCTTAGTAGACAAATGTTATCAGTTGCCTATTCTATGCCAGGTATTCTGATTCTCAAATTAAAAAAAAAAAAATACTTCAGGGACTGGGAACACCATATAAAAGACAAGATTTATGCAGACCTCTATAACATATTTGAGAAACTGACTGTGACTGAGACTCATTTTACACAGTGTAGTTCCAGAGGCAATTATATTCATTTATATTCAGCAGATAGTTATGGAAAACCGTCCATGTGCCTGTCACTGCTATAGATCAACATGAATGAGATTTTGCTTTACTCTCAAGAATCAAATTGTCTATTGAAACTGAAATAGGTTAATGCATTGAGGAAGACAATTTTGTTATAACAAAATGATGGATTTCCTAACAATTAGAAATGCCCCGGAACATTACAGGATGTCTTATGAGGTCTCATCACTAAATTTGGCTGTGATACTCCTGATAGGAAATAGTACAGTACAGGCATAGACCAAGGCAAACAGGTGTGTGTGTGTGTGTGTGTGTGTGTGTATAATTTTCAAAAATTCAAAGTTAACTTAGCAAGTTGTATTTTTCTCTGGCAACCTAACTGAAATGGAGTTGTCCAGGAGATTGTAAAGGAGATCCAATCAGAGGATTAAGTTAAGGTTATGGATTGAATAGAATTTTCTCCTTTTTTTGAGTTTATTTATTTCAGAGGTAGAGTTACAGAGAGAGAATGAAACACTCCAAATGGCCACATGGGCTGGAGCTGGGCAAACTGAAACCGGGAGCCAGGAGCCTTTTCAGGGTCTCCCACGTGGGAGCAGGGGCTCAATCACTTGGACCATTTTCCACTGCTTTCCCAGGTCACAGACAGAGAGCAGAATCAGAAGAGGAGCAGCTGGGACATGAACAAGCATCCATATGGAATGCTGGCACTACAGGTAGAGGTTTACCTTTGCCACGGCACCGGCCTCTAGAATTTTCTAATACATGTAGGCTATGTGCTCAACCTTGGGAATACAGGAGTGAACCAGTGAATCATGCCTTTCCTGCTCCATGATATTACTATGCCATGAAAACAATCATTTCATGAATTCTGTAATGAGGGAAATTGAGTGTTATATAAACAGTAGGATATCTGATGCATTCTAGATGGATTAGAAAATTCTTCCATAAAATGTGATTTTGGCTTTTTAAAAAAACATAGCTCTAGAAAGGTATCATTGATATACAAGGAAATAACAATGGAATATGCAAGGAAATGTGTACAACTTGATCAGTTTGGACATATTTAATACATGTGATATCATCACAGCAATCAAGGAAATAGATATAACCAACACCCCCTGCCCCTGCCATGTTTCCTTATATCCCACTGTTTTGTTTTGTTTTGTTTTTTGTAGTAAGAGAAATTGACATGAGTCTACCCTCTAAACAAATTTTGAAGTGCACAATATCTCACGGTTAACTATAGGTACTAGGTTGTATATTCAATTTCTAGAATTTATTCATCTAGCATATCTGATACTACACAATTCCTAATGTACAAGAACTGAAGCACTTGTAGAAATTACAGGAAGGAGCAGGGTAAGCAAAAAGTGAATGAAATTGAACATGACTAATCAAGAAATAAAAATATTTTGTTGAGACTGAAATTTGAATTGTGATTTTGGGAATTACAAAAGATGAGTCTGGAGAAGACAGTATTGTGAAGGACCTTGGAAGTAGATCATTTGGGTACTGCCCTAGGAGAAAAGAGAATCTCCAGGAAGTCTAGCAGGCCATGAGATCAAACAGACATATTTAGGAAGATGAATGAACAGTTCAAGTGGTTGCTTGGCTGTGTGCGGTCAGAGATAACAAGATATCAGTGGTAGCCCCCAAGTTTCTTGTCTATGCAATCAGGAAATGTATAATAATAATTCCATATGCCTTGAAGGGGAAAGCTGAAAAAAATGATCTCATTTTTAACTAAGAACAACTATACTTTGAACACAAGGGGAATACAACAGGGAAATCTCAAATACAGTTATAGTCACTGACTTTGAAGTTAGCAGGAAGCTGTACACTCAAAAAGCAGATTCTCAATAGCTACCAATATGTAAATAGTAAGTTATATCAAAGGAGAGAAAAGAAATGCCCAAACAAGTTGTGAAAATGAGATAGGCCTTAGGACTGAGCCCTGAAGGACACCAAGAATTCTTAGAATTATTTCTATGAAATACATGAAATGTATTGTTTGTATTATATTAATAACAATTTTAAAAAAGAATTACAATGGAGATATAAAGTGGGAGTCAGCTGTATGACATTTGGCACACATTCATACTTACCATGCTTCAATTTTACTAGGTATAAATTGAGGAAAGCAATGTGGGATTGTTATGAGGATCGTATAAGATAACAGGAGGTACTGGTAGGTTTAGTGTAATACTCTATATGTAGCCGTTACTGTGTCTTTTAACCTGCTCTATATAAAAAGTTCAGTTTATTTTACACATCAGTGCTTCATAACATTTTTTAAATTGTGATTGGTTCCTTTTGAAAGTCTGATGCAAATGAACTCTCTCTTTCTAGAAAAATACATTCAAGCCATAGAAAACAACCACAATCCCTAACACAGTGCTATAAAATGATTATATACCTGGTAAATTCAAGAATGAATAAACTTGTTATTATTAACAAATTACATTATTGATTAATAAGATTGTATAAATAAAAGGAAGTTACTGATTTAAATTTTTTGGCATATAATTTCAAGGAGTTCATGGGCTCCCAAAAGCCCATTCACAAGTCCATCTCTGCAATTTATCTGAGGAGGAAGACATTCAGATACCGAATCAAACTGTGACATGTGTTGTTATGTCTTTACTTGCTAATTTTTAACATTTTATTTTTTAAATATATTTCGGTGTTGTCACTGTACATTGATAAAAGTTTTCTAGGGCTAATTTATTCTAGTGATTGCCAAAGCATTTTTCAGGATAAGTGTCCCTCAGTCTCTCCCTCTATGGCTCTATTTTGGAAGTTGGTAACTGCTGTCTTGCAGCTTTTTCCAGATTGCACTTCTCATCCATCAGTAAAACTGGTGCCTTATGACATACGGAAGGAAAGGGTGTTGAGTTTATTTTTTTAATAGATGAAACGCAATCTCCATTCATAAAATTCTATTAACATGTCTGCATATTTTTAAACCTGTTGACTTTGCTTCTGTCATCAGAAGCCATGTTCAGGGAACAATAAAGACTTTCGTTTTAAACTGTGTATACACAAATCACTGGTAATGTGTGTCAAGCCATCTGCTCTGCAAAGGCACTTTTTCTTATTCTTTTTTTCTATGCATAGCCTAGTTGTGAAAAGTGTTTAAGATGTTAATGCCATGCTACCCATTTGTTGGGATATGATTCTCATTACTTTGTCTTATAAAAATATTTCTTCAGATGAACTAGGTAGAAATTTCCAGGTCTTCTCTTTTCCATACTACCTTGTCATTGAAACCAGTAGATCATCTTCAAATGTCATAAAATTTCTTCTGAATAGAAATGAGTGCCAGCACCAGCGCTGTGGCACAGTGAGTAAAGCCACTGCTGCAGTGCTGACAACCCATATGTACGCTGGTTTGAGTCCCCGTTGCTCCTCTGCCGATCCAGCTCTCTGCTATGGCCTAGGAAAGTAGTACAAGATAGTCTAAGTCCTTGGGCCCCTGCAACAGCATGGGAGATGGGAAAGAAGCTCCTGGCTCTTGGATTCGGATCAGGACCTCTCAGGTCGCTGCGGCCATCTGAGGAGTGAACCAATGGATGGAAGACCTCTCTTTCTCTTTGACTCTGCCTCTCTGTAACTCTGCCTTTCAAATAAATAAATAGATCTTAAGAAAAAGAAATGAGTGGCTAGCATCAATATATGGACTCCCCTGCACCCCACATTCTTCTTCCTCCCTTCTCTTAATATGGATCCTTAATCAGAATTACACTGTGCAAAATTGCAATCACTAACCTGTATAGAGAAATATTAGATTCATTATTTTTTTAAAGATTTATTTGTTTTATTTGAAAGGCAGAGTTACAGAGAGACAGAGGCAGAGAGAAAGAGAGAGAGAGAGAGAGAGAGAGAGAGAGAGAATCTCTCATCCACTGGTTCACTCCTCAAATGGCAGCAACAGCCAGAGCTGAGCTGATCTGAAGCAAGGAGCAAGGAACAAGAAGCTTCTTCTGGGTCTCCCATGCAAGAATAAGGGCTCAAGAACTTGGATCATTTTATATTATTTTCCTTGGCCACAGCAGAGATCTGGATTGAAAGTGGAGTAGCTGGGACTTGAAACACTTAAAACGGTACCCATATGAACTATGAGAAAAGAAATTTAAGATAATTTAAATTGACAAATACTTTGTCTACACTACACTTCCTTTAATACAATGGAGCCAGACTGCCTGGCTTCATGTCCTGTCTCCATCACTTATTGCTATGTGACTTTGCACAGGTCACTTGATTTTTCTTTGTGTTGGTTTTTTTATCTATGAAATGGAAATAATAATGGTAGTCTATGTCATATAATTATTGTGTGGATTAAATGAATAAAATCTACCAAGAACTGACAAAGTTAGAATATGCAGAAAAATGTTAAAGCAAATAACTGTAAATGTATTTCATTTGTTCAGAGTCTATGAATATCTACTAGGCATGTGAAATTCTATAAAGGAAAATCCTGAATTGTTTGCCTTTGAATAAATCACTGTGATATATGGATAAACACATATAAGCGTGTATGTGTCTGCATTTATGTGTTTGCATAGTGTATGTCTGTTGCACAGGGTGATATTTTTGGAAGCACCTGTTCTCCAAGGTTGCTCTAGAGGAGTATGATTAAGAAGACAAAAGATACTCACTTTTCTGTACAGTAGAGTAATGAATATCTGAGAATTTTTTTAACTTTTATTTAATGAATATAAATTTCCAAAGTACATATTATGGATTACAATGGCTTCCCCCCCTATAACTTCCCTCCCACCCGCAACCCTCCCCTTTCTCACTCCTTCTCCCCTTCCATTAACATCGAGATTCATTTTCATTTCTCTTATATACAGAAGATCAGTTTAGTATATATTAAGTAAAGATTTCAAGAGTTTGCACCCACATAGAAACACAAATTGAAAAATACTGTTTGAGTACTAGTTATAGCATTAAATCACAATGTACAGCACATTAAGGACCGAGATCCTACATGAGGATTAAGTGCACAGTGACTCCTGTTGTTGACTTAACAATTTGATACTCTTGTTTATGGCATCAGCAATCCCCTTAGGCTCTAGTCATGAGTTTCCAAGGCTATGGAAGCCCTCCGAGTTCACCGACTCTTACCATATTTAGACAAGGCCATAGTCAAAGCAGAAGTTCTCTCCCTCCCTTCAGAGAAAGGTACCTCCCTCCTTCATGGCCCGTTCTTTCCACTGGGATCTCACTCGCAGAGATCTTTCATTTAGGTCTTCTTTTTTTTTTTTTTTTTTTTTTTTTGCCAGAGTTCTTGGCTTTCCATGCAGACTCATAGAATGGCAGATGTCCTAAACAGCACTCTGGCCTCAGAATCAGCCCTGAAGGCATGTGGATCTGGCTCTTGAGAATTGTTTTTGGTGTTAGCAAGTTGGAGTTTAAGGTGATAGAAAGGCATTGGAAGAAAGAAGGTGACCAACAGGAAACCAGGCCTTAAGGACAATACCTCTGGAGACTAAGAAACTTTTGTGAGCAGTGATATCTGACACTTATTTTAAAAACTTTTTGGGTACAATATTTTTACCAAATTGTCAGTGAAACTTATATTGATGGTGTGTTACAGAGTGAATATATACTCTTCAAATTCATACAATGCATTCTCACCCTCAGTGTGATGATTTGGAGGCCGACCCTTTGGGAGGTGATTAAGCCCTGAGAGTGGAGTTCTCATGAATGGAATTAACGCCTT